GCCCTGGAACACAGTAGTGGCCACCAGGACAGATGTGACATTCCATGGTATGGGCGCCGGAAGTGTAGGAGCCAGGAGGACATGGAGTGGGGCCAGCCATTCCCAAAGGACAGACGTGTCCAGGGGGACAGAATCTCCCAGAGAGTCCCTCCACGGAGCTGGCAGGGACAGTTCCCCCCGTGCAGGAAATGCTGGAAAAACGTGGGCCAAGCGAAAGGGCCTCAACCGGTGGGCCTCCTCAAGGAGCAGGCAGCCTGTGGGCCCCGACGGCCTTCCAGCAGGCGGGGGCACCCCCGGTCAGGCCCTGGGGCTGGGACCCTTGCCTGCCTGCTCTCTGCTGAATCTGCCCCCTCATGGCCTCCTCCTGCCTCTAGCCTGGCTCTGTCGGGTGGGTGAGATGGGAGGTGGCAGAGGTGTGGTGCGCTGCCACATGTCTGGACACTGGTGTCCTTTCAGCAACCTTGTCTGCAAAGCAGTCAGGTCCCAGGCGTGGGACCTCTGCATGTGGCCCACAGGCCCCACAGGGCAGTTGGGGTGACTCTTCTCTGCCCAGCACGGGTTTCCGCCCCTTGCTTTCTGGCTCCTCACTCTGTGGATAGCATCCCCGTCCCTGGGAGCCCGGAGCAGACACACTGTGTGCCCACCCTGGGTGGCAGGCTGTGGGCCGGAGGGGCGGGTGGCTCCCAGAGCAGAGCTCTCCTCCAGCGCAGTCCCGGCATCCTTCGGGGGCTCCATTCCCCTCCTCAGACCAGGTGCCAGGGGGGCATCGGGATGGGATGGGCGCCCCTGCAGGAGGCAGGGAGGTGAGGGCAGAGGCCAGGTGGTCTGCCAGCTCCTCCCTGCCAGGGCCCTCCCGCCAGGCAAGAAGAGAAACGTCCCTCTCAGGTCCAGAGGGAGGGACTGGTTCAGCTCCAGAGTTTTTGGGTCAACTTCACCCACTGGAATGAAAGCTGGGTGGGTGAATGGACAGAAACCTGTGCCTGACTCAGCAGGGTTGGTTCAGGGAAACAAAAGGCTGCAGGCCGCTTGCCATCCAGTTGGTGAGGACCCCAGATGCGGAGGAATAACCAGGCCTGAAAAGGCCTCTTCTCAGTAGGAATCGGCTGAGGCAGGAGTGGGAAAGGAGGGACAGCGGGTACTGGGAAAACCTTTTCAAACAAAGGTTTCCTGGGGTTCCGATGTGGGGAGGTTTTGAGGATGGGAGGGTGGGGCTGGTGAGCAGTGGGGAGGCGTCCAGAGTAAGCGTTCGGTGCTCCACTGTGACTGTGTGGGAAGCAGGGCTCAGAGCCCCAAGCCAGCAGAAGGCTAGGAGAGAGGCAAGGGGCCCTCCGGGAATGAGGTACCCTTGAGGCAGTAGTGCCCAGGCGGGCAGAGGAGCCCTCGTGCCCCGTCGGTGGGGTCCTTGATGGCGGCTCCTCCCTTGCACCAGTGCCCTGCAGCACAGTCTCCTGGGGAAGAGAACAGCTGGTCAGCCTTCTCTGTGCTCCTCGATGGAGATCACAGCACTAGGCGCCTGACGGCTTGCACTGTCCCCACACCTTGGCCATAGGCTGCAGGGGTCCCTGACCCAAAGCCAGCCTGGCACAGGGCTCTGGGAAGAGCAGGGTCCTGAACTGGCCCCACCAATGCCTGCTTCAGTCAGCTCCGAGCTCTTGGGTCAAAGCCCTGTGGTGTCTGGCCCAGTTCGAGGTGTGGCCTCCTCAGAGACCATCAGCGGCTGGGCCTGGATTTTCCTTATGGATTAAAACATTTCCAGTCGTTTCACAAGGAAGCCACCAAAATGACCCAAGAAAGCGTCCCCCGCCCCCAACACCTAAATCACTGGACCAGGGGGAATGACCAGGGAGATGCTAAGACCCTCGGGAGGAACCCTTGGCTGGCGCTGGGAGGAGACGGAGCCTGTGCTGTGAGTGGGTGTCTGGGTGTAGCGCCGCTTCAGGAAGGGTTGAGGTGTGTGGGCTTGCAGGGCTGGGTGACATCAGAAGCAGCTGGATAGCTTTCTAGGACCAGGCACTGAGGACTGACCCCACACCTCCTGTATTCCTGGGGTGAGGGCTGGGGACACGGTGCTTTCAATAGTCACTGGAGTGTGAGTGAAGGAAGGGGCATTTGGAAAGCAGTGAAAACACAGACCTCCTCCTATCCCAACAAGTCCATGCTGCTCTGATCCTTGGTCAGCAATCCAGGGCTGTGAGCTTCTCTGGAGCATCTCCCCATCCCCGGTCATCCACCCGTCAGGCTCAACACGCCCAAGGCTTTTTTTTTTGTTTGCCTGTGAGGGTGCCCTGGGTGTATCTGTACCTGTTGGTGCTGTGAGTCCAGCCAGTGCACAGAATTTCCCAGCAGGGCAGGGTTGGCACCCGGTGACTCTGGTCAGCCCCTTCCGAGGGCCATATGTGCCCACTGGGCAGCTGTAGTGCGTGGCCCTGGCTGTGCCCAGGGGGCAGTAATGTCCCCGGGGACAAGGGTACAAGCTGAAGTCCTGGATGGGCCCAGCGCTGGAGTCACAGTAATAGCCTGGTCAGGAGTGACAGATGCTGAGGACAAGACCTGGCCCTTCCTGAGACATCTGTCTCTCATAGCGTCTCATGCCACAAGGACCCATGCCCAGAGAGCTTCCCCCAGAGCTCCCACCCCAGCCTCATCCCCTTTCCCACACCCCAGGGCTTCCCTCCCTCTCACCTGCTGGGCACTGCCCACTGGGGGCCTGGAGACCAGCCTCCTTGCAGTAGAAGCCCGGTGGGCAGGACTGGCATGCAGAGAGCATGGTTTGCTCAGGGAGGCTGGAGAAGGTGCCGGCAGGACAGGGCATGGGCTTGTGTGATCCTGCAGCTGGGGGCACAGGGAGGGAGCGTCACCTGGCTAAAGAGAGCCCACAGGTACAGGGAGCAGAGACTCCTCATGGGCAGCAGGAGCAGGCTCAGCCTCAGAGCACTGGACAGCCCATGAGATCACAGATCTAGAGGACCCTCTGCTGCCCAGCCCCTCTGCCAGCCTGGCACAGGCCCTTCCCCTGCAGCTGATGAAACATCACCAGGGCTCAGAACACTGACAGCTGACAAGGCTCCAGATGCAACCAGGTCATTGTCATTGACTCTTAGCTGTCCCCACCAAACAACCGAAGCCACAGCAAATGCCCAAAGTGTACTTTAACCACACCCCTCTGCAAGCCTTCTTGCCTCAGGCCTGACTCTAGCGGGGCACCTCTCTTCCCTCTGGCTTCCTCCCACCTGCTCAGGGGCACAGGTGCAAGCCAGAGGAATCAGATCTGTCTGCAGTCCTGGGACAGGAGGGCGAGTTGGGCCGAGAGCAGAGCCCAAGGATACACTCACGGCAGAAGTATCCTGGGGGGCAGGGAGCCCCTGTCACCCCGTCCTTTGGAGTAGGGGATGATGCACCTTCTACACAGAAGTAGCCAGCCTGGCAGGGCCCGCTGGGGGTGGAGAGGCCTGGAGGTGGAGGGGAACTGGGTTAAATGCTGAGTAGACTCACTATAAAACACGTTGGCCTTTGGAGTCAACTGGGATCCCTGTGGACATCAGTCCTCGGAGGACTCGTGGTGTGACTGGAGTACTCAGCTGGGACTGGAGTACTCAGCTGGTACTAGTGGTTATGCCTTTGCTGAGCCTGCATTGAGCCTGTGTTGAGCCTCTGCTGAGTCTGTGCTGAGCCCTGTGCTGGGCCTGTGCCCAGTCTGTGCTGAGTGTACGCCGAGCCTGCGCTGGATCCTTGTCCTGAGCCTGCAGTGAGCGTGTGCTGATCCTGCGCTGATTCTGTCCTGAGCCTGGGTTGAGCCTCTGCTGAGTCTGTGCTAAGCCCTGTGCTGGGCCTGTGCTGAATGTAGGCTGAGTTGTGCTGAGCCCTGAGGCTGAGGCTGTGCTGAGCTCTGATTCGAAGTCTGAACTGAGCCCGTGCTAAGCCCTGTGACTGAGTTTGGGCTGAGCCTGTGCTGCACCTCTGTGGAGCCTGTACTGATCCTGGGCTGCGCCTGGGCTGAGCCTGGGCTGAGCCTGGGCTGAGCCTGAGCTAAGTGTTCCATCTGCTCCTGAGCTAAGTGTTCCATCTGCTCCTGCCCAACCCTGTGACATGGGTATACTCTCATTCACAAAGAGCCTCAGGTCATCGCAGTAAGGTGCAGAGATGAAATTAGCATACAAGTTGAGCCAACTCAGCCTAAGGTCTGGACTTCAGGGGCTGTAGAGCTGAGAGCCTCCCAGGGCAGGAGGAGCCTGGTGCATGCCTGGGTGCTCAGTGCCCAGCAGGGCTGTCCACAGCAGGTGCTTGGGAAGTGCAGGCACTCAGACACGGGGAGTACAGAGAGGGATGAGGGAGGTGCCACTGAGCGCCTCCCTGTGTACAGAGACCTGCTGGCCTGGCCACTCCTCCCCACCTTGCTGTTCTGTGGTGGCTGGCCTGCGTTCACCCAGAGTGACAGCAACAGTGATGGTTTATGAAGCACAGTCCTGCCAGGAGGCATGCCAGGCACAGCCCCCTGAGGTAGGCAGGCAGTGCTTCTCACTGGACAGGGAAGGATGGTGGTTACGTGTTCACCCTCATGTTGGTTCTCCCACCAGCCACAGCCTGAGCCACAGCACGATAGGCCCTTACCAGAGGTGCCACAGAAAGAGCCCGGTGGGCAGGGCATGGGCTCTGGGCTTCCCTCTGGGCAGTAGGAGCCAGCAGGGCACTTTCCCCCTGTGGCCGTGGCTGGGCACAGGCAATTGGTGCTGGTGTAGTTGTCCAGGTCGAAGGGGTGGGCAGTCCACGCTGCAGACACACAGAACCATCCTGGGGTAGAAACCAGTGGAGAGGGGTGGGTGGTGGGCCAAGGAGTCCAGGGCCAGGCTTACCAGGCTGCAGGCCCACCCACCCCTCCCATTAGCTGCTCCAGGAGACACTCTGGGTGACCCCAGGTCTAGGAGCAGAAATGGGAAGCGCAGAGATGGACAGCGGGCGTCTTAGGGCAAGGCAGGAGACTCATCTGCCTCACAAGGCCCAGAGGCCCGGGTCAGGTTCTCCTGCCCACAGTAGTGGCCTGGGGGACAGGGCAGGCAGCTGTCCAGGCTCTGGGTCAGCGGGTCTGGGTTGTAGTAGCCCCGAGGGCAGGGGAACTGGGTGGCATACTTGGTGCCTGAGAAGCAACGTTCAGAGGAGGGGAGCCCAGCTTGCCGGTTCCTGAAGACACCCTCTGCTCCAGGCCCTGGGGCAGGGGAGGCTCAACGTGGCCAGCTGCTCCCTGCACCCCTCCTCCTGCAGGGCTGGTCCTTGGCAGACTCCCTGCCTCGGCCCCACCACTCACTCACCCCGGGCCTCCTGGGGTGGAGAGTTCGGCTCCCGGGCTGGGTGGCCCTAGGCCCAGGCTCCACAAAGCCACAGCATATGGGTGCTATTCCCCTTCCTGGGGCTCAACTTCACTGAAAGGCATGGGGACCGAACTTTCTACGCATTGCTAAAGTAATTTCACATCTTCGTTTTTTAGCCAACACAGATATGCTACGGAATACAATGTAAAACCTTCAGGCATTCTAAAACGCAGCTGGAGACTTGGATGGAACTCATTCTTGTCACCACCTGCTTAGAGCTCACCCTTGGAGCGCCCTTATGTCCCTGGCCTTCAGGACGGGTGGCGGGAAAGCTCGGAAGCAGAGGACACACCTACGCATGTGTCTGTGGCTGCAGCAGTTTGCATTGATGTGAGCCCCAAGTCCCCAGCTGAGCCTACAGCGGCTGTACAACTCTGCCCAGCCTCGCCCCGGGAAGTTGTGGCCCTGGCGCTCACCTCTGGGGCAGTAGAAGCCAGCAGGACAGGGGTGCCCGCTGTAGTTGGTGATGTTCTTGGGACAGTAGTAGCCAGCGGGGCAAGGGAAGCAGGAGGCCTGGCCAGTCAGGTAGCTGTAGGAGCCGGCAGGGCAGGGCTGTGGGAGGCTGGTTCCCCTGGGGCAAAAGTGGCCTCGGGGACAGGGGCCTCCCTGCCCTGAGTGGCCTGAGGGGAGGAAGGAAGCTGAGTGAGGAGTGCACATCTCAGTCCCAGCAGAGAGTGCCAGAGCTGGGGGAGGGTTGGGCCCTGTCACCAGGACCAAATGTGGACTCCAGTTTAGGTCAGAGGTTTGTTTTTGAGAGAAGCAATGCTTGTGGCTGGCATTTGTACCACACCTTACAGATCAAAAAACACATGTTTTACACAAATGTCACATTATTCGGGCCTCAGAAAAATCCCTCTTTGGTAGGTGGACGAGAGCAATGACTGGTTTTTACTGAGGATGAAGTCCTAAGACGTTAGCGGGCCAGCCAGGGTCTCCCCGGACTCCGCCTTGGCTCAGAGCCGGTTTTCCAGACATCCCTCCCAGTGCTGTTTCCAGGACACACCGTAGTTGTGCACTTTTCAGTAAAACAGGCTGACAGACCAGGGCTTTCCCACTGAGTTGTACTAAGCCAGGCCGGCTGCTTCTGTTTTGGTCTTTTGTCCCGGCTCAGCAGCCTGAGTGGGGGCTTGGCTCTGGCTCTCCAGCCCTCATCCATGATGCCCCAGAACTCGACCTTCCATCTGAGAGCTGAACTCTCGCCTCCAATGTTCTCTGAATAATGGAAATGTCAGAGCACAGGGATTCAAGGGTCCTGGCCAAGGATCAGCTGCCCTGTCTGCCTGTCACATGTTCCTAAGGACCCAGAGACTCCAGGCTGCCCCCTGACCACTGGAGATGGCCGCACAGGAGGTGTCCTTGGGAAGACGGTCAGCAGCCGCTAGAGGGAGCAGAGATCCTGGACGCTGACCTCCAGGGCCTAATGCACCGCCCCCTCCCCTGACCGGCACCTCGAGGGGGATGTGTAGAGGGTCTGCTCTGGGACCCTTGGCCTTGGCCGCCACCTTCCCAAGCGAGCCAAGGCCCACAATCAGCTCAGCCTGTGGGTGGCCCATGGGGCACCATTTCGGTGCCCACTGACTGCAACTTCTTACCCACACACCCGTCCTCTCTGTCCACCTCCCGGCAAACCTGTGGTGGATTCAGCAGGTCTGAGTGAGACAGAGGTGGGCTGGGAGGATGCAGGTGTGACTGTGAGTGGGCAGGGCAGCCAGACCACAGCACACTTTGGCCAGAGATGACTCCAGCCCCTCTCACATATGTCCCCTCTGTCCTCAAACCACCCATAGCCCATCGGTGCCAAACCGTCAGAGCCCCCACCTCAGGGCGTTGGGTGGTACAGGGCTCACCCGCTCCCAGGGGGCTCCATACCTGTCGGGGTTGGGGAGGAGGCTCCTGCCAGACAGAAGTAGCCGGGGGAGCAGGGGCCGGAGGGCGCAGCCAGGCCAGAGGCACCGCAGAAATAGCCAGGGGGACAGGACAGGCACTCAGAGGCCGTGGAGAGAAACATCCTGGGGAGACACAAAGAAACCCAGGAGATGGGCCAGGAAAGGGAGCAGGTGGGAGGAAGGGGCTGTGAGACCAGGCCACTCTGAAAGGGTGGACCCAGGCGCACCCTGGCAGGGACCGCCTTTTCACAATTTCCTTTTCATCTCTCCTCTCTCAGGCTCCCTGTGACTCCTCCTGCCTACACTGGCTCCAGGTAGCATTTCCGGCAGGTGCTTGAGGGAAAATGTGGCTCTTCTCTCTGTTTCTCTCTTTCCCCTCTGAGATATGCACCTGGTTATAGTTCTTCTCTGTCTTAATTCCAATTCGAGCTCAGGATGTCCAGGGCCACAGACCTCTGTGATCCGGCAGCTACAATCACAACACCTAACTGCTCCACACTCCCCCGCCGCCCTCCCCCGAGCCATTGGCTCCATGACTGGCCCTTGCTTTGGGCTGTCTTCTCTTGGGAGCTGGGAGGGTCCTAAAGATGAGGAGAGGGTCTGGTCTCAAAAGAGACATCGGCAGACACATATTCTTAATGGCTTTGCTTTCTTGAGTATGACGTGTTCTCAAGCCCCTCGAAGCCTGCGTGGCCTGCCCTCGATCTGGCCCCTCCAACCCACACTCCCCAAGGCTTTCTGCCCTCCCAGCCCGGGTGGAAGTCCTGCTCTCCCAACCTCACACTCTCCCATGGCTGAGGGATATTGTTGGTCAGCTGGTCAGAGGAAAGGAGGACCGAGAGGAGGTCTGGGCTCAGCCTCTGGGACCAGGGCAGCGGCACTCATACTCACCGATCTGAGAAGGTGCCCACAGGGCAGGGCAGGGGCACCCCCGTGCCCACTGGACAGAAGTGACCTGGAGGGCAGGGCCCCCCTGCACTCACATGGATGTCTTTACTGGGATGAGTGACCTCGGCTCCTGCCCAGAGAATCAGAAGTGGCTGAGATTGCAGGGCAGCCCTCCTTGGACCCCGTCAGGCTCTCGACCACCCCCACCTCACCCACCCCTGCAGGGGGACATTTCCCAGAATAAGGGAGCAGAGCTTGCGAGCTGGAGTGACAGTGCCCTCCACTGCCAGGGTGGCTTTCAAGCCCAGGGATGTCAGTGGGCCCTGAGATGCGGCCCCTTCTGTATTAATTCTTGCCTATCTGTGCCAGATCCTGCTTAGGAACCCAAAGCTGGGGAGAAAGCGTGGGGGTTCTAGGACTTGCCCATCCTGGGGAAAGGTGGGTGGTGCTTTCAGCCCCACTCTCAGTGTGGAGGGCACTGCAGGGCACTGAAGAGTTGGGGCTCCAGACCCCACTCGGGGGGCCTCCGGATGAGTGTTCCAGAAACCTGTTTCCACTCCGGCTAAGCTTGTTTTCATTTACACATTGATGATGTCATCACTTATGGTTTGTTCAAACCCTTTCTGAATGAGATGGACCTAATTTAACAAAAATTGCACTGACAAGCAGTCTAAGGAGAAGGGGCCCTTACATTTCTATGGGAAGAGAAAAGAAAGAGTAATGTGTGACTGTCCCTAAAGCCGACAGCTTTGTCTGTGTGAAGACATGTCTTATATGGGAGGGTAGGGACGCCTGCGAAAGACGACACGTCACCTTCCCCACACAGGTAGCCAAAGGTGCAAAAAGAAGGTGGAGGAGCTCAGGTGAAAGCACTGGTGTCCTCACAGCGTGCATGAAAGTCATTTCCACAACCCCCCAGCCCTCAGGTGACTCGGGAGGGTGAGAGGTCACCTCACCTCATGAGCTGTCTCAGGGAGAAGGAAGGTGGGGCTGGGGTTAGGGCTGGGGGCGGTTTTATTAGCATCTCCATCCTGGGGTATCCCGGACCCTGTCCTGGAGTCACTGCCTGTGAAGCTGAAGTGTCACTTGGTAGAGGCTGCTGGGTGGATGTTAATCCCACAACATAGTCCTCAGAGCCCTGCCTGTGGGCTCGGGGCCGCCAAGGTCATGCTGGGACCATGCCAGGGCTGAAGGCTGGGCCTGCCACTCAAGGGCCTTGGGGAACACAGGTCCAGGCTCCCTCTTGTGGCTGCAAGGACATGTGGGAAGTTCTGCTCCTAAAGCTCCTTCAGCCCAGTGCCCTGCGATTGTGACCTTTTAGGATCCTCCTTCCTTAGCTCAGCCTTGAACTTCTGCTTCGGGAAAGCTGTCGTGGTGCTTTCCTGATCTTTTGGGCAGCGTGGAAGCCTTGGCCAGGCACCAGCAGAGATGGGGCATTTCCTGCACTTCAGAGACCCTGCAGAAACCGGATCCTACCTTTCTCTGTTACGCTCTCCACCCCTGCCGCTCGCCTGCCCTGCAGGAGGGGCCATCGCTGTGGTGGGGTCCATGCCCAACCCTGCCTCTCCTCAGGCTTATTCTCCTCTGCAGCCTCCTTCAGGACAGGTGTTTCTTTACTGCCCTTCCTGAGCTCCATCTTATTTAATGCTCATCTCAGCTCTATGAGGGGAGAACTCAGGATTCCCGAGTTAAGGGATTCCCCACAGTCAAAAGGCCTTGCCCTCAACCTCGGGTCACAGACCTCTGTTTCCCAGGAGCTGCGTCCCTCGGGCCCCACTGCACAGCCTTGGCCCCCCTCCTCACCTGCAGGACATGGCGGGCAGCTGTGGGCCTGGCTTCGGTCCTCCCAGGGACTGTACACGCCTGGAGGACAGGGCCTAGGGAGGTGGCTAGTGCCCTGGTGGCAGTGATGTCCTGGGGAGCAGGTCCTCCTCTGGTGGGTCTCTTGGCCTGGAAAAAGGTGACCTCAGTCATCCCAAGGCCTCGCCCGTCCCGTGTGTAGGTGTCCTTAGCAACCCTGCTCTGCTTTCTGAGCAGGCCAAGTACCTGTGCCGTCGCTGTGCTCCCCATCTTGCCGGGGCGTGGGCGCCAGAGAACCCGCGAAGTGTTCCCACAGCCCACCAAGGGGTGTCGGCGTCTGCGCCCCTCCTGGGCAGTGGAATCCTGGAGGGGGAAGCACCAGGCTGGCCTGCTGTCTGGAGAGGCGCGGCTCCCACCTTCCCATGCACGAGGCTCCTGCTGCACCCGTGACTGCGGTGGTGGGATCGAGCTCTGGGGGTGCCCCGGTAAGCTTATAATGTAGGACCTTCTTAAATCCACATCTCCACATCTGTGTCCCCCACATGGCCAAGTGGAGGTGGCGGTGTGGGCAGCAGCATAATGGAGGACAGTGCCCGCCTCTCATCTGTCTGGACCCAAACTTCGCCCCTCACTAAACCCAAGTATCACCTGCTGTGCATGGGGACCCCAAGCCCATTGGGGAACTTTCAGCCCATTTCTCAGAGGCTGGTCCAGATGTTGTCCAGGGACAGATGGGCAGTGCTTTCTGGCGAGGTGGCAGGCCTCCCTGGGCCAAGCAGGCAGAATCCTGCCCTCACCCTCCAGGACCCTCCCCACCTCCCCTTCGCCTCCCCCAACACCCGGACCTCGAGCTTCGAGGATGTGAGCAGCTTGGGAGCAGCTGGGTGCTGCCGTCTGAGACTCCACCCCACCATGTTCAGTATCCGCCTCTGGCCAGTCTCCAGCCTGCCTCCTCCTCATTCACACAAGCCTGGCCCCACCGCCCAGGCACACCTGCCCTGGGCTCTCTCCAGCGTGCCTCCTCCCCAGGCACTGAGGCTCCCAGGGTGGCAGGTCCCAGCCATGCTCTGCTTCATGCTCAGGGGGATGTAGGCGTCCTTACCTGGTGCACACGGGCCCCCAGGGGCAGCCTGGCCTGTGGTGGCACAGAAAAGCCCAGGTGGGCAAGGCAGGCACCAGCTTATGTCCTGTGCCCCTCTCTCTGCATTCCAGGTGCCAGCCGGGCATGGCCACTGCCTGGGGTCCTTGGTGCCAGCAGGGCAGAAATGACCCGGGGGACAGAGGTCACCAAAGGGGAGTCCATCCTAGAGGAAGAGGGGTCTGTTGAGGTTTACAAGCTGAGAGAAAGTGGGTTCTCTCCACCGGCTTCCCTCCTCTTCCTCCCTGAGCCCCTCTCTAGGGAAGCCTGCCTCGCTCAGCCCAGCCACAGCTGTTCTGCACCCCCAGGAACCCTCTGGGAAACACTCAGGAATTTAACTTCAGGAAAAGAAAGCAAATTTTGATTGTTAAGTTGTTAAATAGCCTCAACAATTCCAACTCTCTGCTAACATCACCAACACACAGCTTTAATTGTGATGAGGTACAACTACCATCTATCAATTCATCTATATTTATCATCTCTCAAATAATCAATTATCATCTATCAATCATCGGTGCATCAAATGATGTACTTACTTGTCATTATTAATGCTTACCTAGTATCCCTCTAGGTTGATAAGCCATATGTCTATCTAGATATTTTCTTATTATTGGGCCTTTGTGCTGGTTTGTTGTTGCTTTGAATGTTTTTTCACAGATGACTATTTTCCCCTTTCAGATTCTTTCCCACATTGGAATTACTGGATCAAAGTTTGCGAGCTGCCCTAGGCTCTTGTTAGGTATCGCGAGACTGCAGCGGCTCCAGGCCCAGGCTGCAGTGGAGAGCACGGACTCCCACAAGGAATCCTCGTGGGGCCTTCAGCACTCGCTTTACTATCAGCGGTTGGTAGATGCGTCGGGTACTGAAGCGGCATTGCTTCATGTGCCCTTAATGTCAGCCCACTGAGCCTTTTCCTGGCTGAAGGCATATTTGTATTTGGCGCCTTTTCCAGTGGGTGCCGGATGCTAGCCTCTTGGGCCCTTTCTCACTGGTTACATGTTGTCACGAGCCGCGTATAATGGCTGCAGTTCTACCTGCTCTGCAGTCATGTCATTCTATCTTCTCAGGGCTACTCTGCCCCTCACGGGGCAGTAAGCCCCAGGGGGCAGGTGCTGGGCCTTTGCCCTGTGGTGTTCCTGACCCCGGCCCTGGGAAGGCCTGATGGGGCCTGCACTCACCGGGGATGAGGTGTTGGAGCCAGGCCCACAGTGATGCCCAGGGTGGCACAGGACCTGGGGCTCGGCCAGGCCAGCTTTGCCACAGAATGTCCCCGGGTGGCACGGCTGGCAGTCTTCCATGCAGGCGGCCCCGGGGGCCTTTCGGAAAGTGCCCTGGGCAGATAGAGCGGCGCCACAAGGGTCAAGGTTCTGGAAGCCACAGTGGGGTCAGGGAGGAAGCAGAGCAGGGCCCTCCACCCTCTCTCCTTGGGCACCCAGAACCAGGGAGGAGGAGACAATCTGTTCTCACCGAGGACAGAGCCCTCAGGACCCATCCACCAGTGCATGGGACTGAGGTTTCCATAGATTGAAATCTGGTTGCAAAACAGAGGGGAGGCTGCCCCCATGGGGAGTGCCACCTGCACCTAACTCCGCAGCTCCCTGTCCCCCTCCCTCCTCCTCCCCACCTCCTGCTCTCCTGGGCCTGGGTTACTCTGTCCCTTGTGACCTCTAGTCTGGCACCATAGGGAAACTAGTTGTGGGAATATGAGCAGCCCAGCCCTTATCTGAGGGGTGGGAGAGTCAGGGGCCGGGAGTGACCATGTCATGTTGAAAGGACATTGTCTCCCTCAACCACCAGTATGGGGCCAATGGCTCCAGAGCCTTCCCATGCAGAAGCAGAAACACGGGTCGGGAGTCCCAGGGGAGAGGCTCACCATGGGGCAGGAGATGGACAGCAGGCCCTGGGCTGGACAGTAGTGCCCAGGGGGACACGTCATAGGGCCAGGTAGCTTTGTCTGGTTGCAGAGTTTTCCTCCTGAGCACTCCTGGCACCAGAGACGACCTGGACCCTGGAAACAGGTGTGGACAATAAGGTCAAGGTTCCTTCCACATCTGGATAGTGCAGGGGGGCCTGGTGCATGACAGAGACTGAGGAATGTGGGACTGCTGCTGGCCAGAGGCTCAGTGTGCACCTCCCCTATGAGGAGGGCGGATGCCACAGAACCAGGGAGCTCTCCAAGCACATGGCTGCAGGATTGGCAATGCCCGGAGGAGGAGGGCCCAGGCTGGGGGCTCCACTGATTCTCGGGGAGGCCTCTGCGTGAGTTAGGAGAGGCTGATGTGGCCCTGCAGGGCCGTGTTCATGAGTGGTCTGGGCAGGGCAGTCACGATGGCTGCACAGTGGGCCATGCTGTGGGCTCTGGGTCACCCACCCTGCCACCTCCCCCTGCCTGCAAGCACTCTCGAGGTGTCCACATAGAAGCCTGGGATCTCTGGGAGGACTCAGGGCAGAAGGTTGGGGGCTGCTGTGCCAGGTGAGTATTGGTGCTGGAGCCCTGCGGGGTTTGCCTCCCAGCTGTGCCATCTGCAGACCCTTCCTCATCTCGAAGGGGAAAGCCATGCTGGCGGTGCGGGCATCCCTGAGCTGACACGGTGAGTGCTCTGTAGATGGCAGAGCTCCAGGTAATGTAAGGGGCGATGACGGTGCTTCCTGAGAAGGAAAGAAAGATTGTGTCTGAAACACCATTTGGGCCCCTTGGGCTACAGCGATTGGCCACAGTTGCCCTGTGTGGAAAGCTGCGAGATACTGAATAAACTGCCCATTCTTTGACTCTGCACAACTCCGCAGGGCCACCTGTGGCTTCCCTAAGCTTGATGTTGTTTCTTGGAATGATCACCAAGCTTCACTGAAGAAGCCTGCAGAGATGGCATTAGCAGAGCAGTGAGGGACTCATGCAATGCCATCCTCTTCCCGACACTTGAGTGCACATGGCAGGCAGTGGGGAGGAGGGTGCCGATAGCTCCTCTGGGTCTGGAAGGCCAATGTCAAGCAATGTCCCAGGCTCCTGATCATTGCTTACCTGGGTGGTGGGGGAAGGGGGGGGGGTGTAAAATGGAAGTTTGCTGCCTTCATCACCCATAGCTCCCTGTAGAGGGAGCTAAATGCAGACACCTACCCCAGTGGGCTCAGGGCAATAACTCTGTCCCCCCATCTCCCTCCCTCTGCTTCTTCTCCTTCCCCTTCCCCTTCCCCAGCAGGCACCAGGCTGGCCCAGGGAGCAAGGGCCCAGGCCTGCCCCTCTGCCCTAGAAGAAGCATCTGGAGGCCTGCCCAGCTCCCGAGTCCACACTGGAGCAGAGGATTCTCCCTGCAGTTGCGTGTTCCCCCTGCCTGAGCAGAGCACTGGGGAGTCACCACTGGGGCAGGCTGGGGCAGGCACCTCCCGACTTTAGGATCCCCCACTCTTCAGAGCCCTCTGAGTATGGAGTCTGTTCTGGGAACACTTACAGAGAAGCTGCCAGTGCTGCACGGCTGTGGCATGGTGGTGCCCCTCTCGGGGCAGTGGTGACCAGCAGGGCAAGGCACACAGGCCACAGCCAGCTTGGCAGCTGGACCTTGACGGTAGGTTCCCCTAGAGGGGGTGGAGAGAGCTGAGGGTGGATGCCCACAGCCTTCCTGGGAAGAGTCCCCACCCATGAAGTCACCATTTCTCCAAGGCCGGAGCCCTCCACTGTCCCCCAGCTTCCCCTCAGAGTGTAAGGGCAGAACTCCCAGCCCGCCTGAGCCTTAGGAGACCCTGTCGGGGAGGTTGAGGGTGTGGCCTCAGCTGGAGATTGCAGGGCAGGAGATTTAAAAACCAGACTCATTGTGCTTCTTTCTAAAGTTGTCTTTGAGATGCAGCAGGGACCCCTCTTAGGATCCTGCTACCTCCCCACCCTCCCAGCATGGAAATAAAGACAAATCTTGAGTTCCTTCAAGGGAAAGGCCAGCACCTCACTAGCCCTGAGGAGTAAATGAGCAGCCCGATAAGTGAGAAGGTAATTGTAGCTTTGAACAGTGGCCAGCGAAGTCAGAGACACAAGAGGTTTGGTTTTCTCTGGAAGCTAAAGATGCCATCTTAGCCTATGCCCCTGATTGCTTCTCAGAAACCAGGACCCCCAGCAAATGGGCCCCTGGCAGGCAGACCTCAGATAAGGAGGGAGTGAGGACTGAGCTCTGACTGCTGCAGTGCTTTGTTCTAAATTTCTGCCTGGGGGCTCCTGGCACGCCCACAGGCCAGACCTTAACATCCCTTTCTTTCTGCTGACCCTAAGCAATTAGACAGAGCTTCAATGCCTTAACCAATCAGAGAGTCTTTGACTCCACCTCTGACCTGGAAGTCCCTGCTTCAAGATAGACTGCCGTGTTAGGCCAAACCGATGTGTAACCTCCATGTCTTGGTTTACAATTTTGCCTGTGTGAGGGTAAATTTGTCTCCTGAAATTTACCCCTGCCTTTATAAACCCTTGCTTGCAAGCTGCCAGGAAGGTTGGGTCACTTTTTTTTTTTTTTTTTTTTTTTTGTGAGACAGAGTTTCACTTTTGTTGCCCGGGCTTAGATTTTCCACATTCTCTCAAATTTTATAAACACCTATTTATGCTTTGTGATATTTATGATTTTGGCTTTTTAAAATTGAAATCTGCATTTGATCTGAAATTTCTTTTGATCGATGTCATTTCCACTTTTTACATGAAGAATGTGTATTGCTTTGTTTTTAGTAAGACAAACCCTAAGTTTTCTTCTTGACCAGTGGAATAAAAGGCACATTTTAACGGAACAGTAAAATCCACAGATAATCCCACAGCTTGGGCTAAATGATCCCTGCTGAGATCGCTGCTGCAATTAGCTTCAGGAGGGGTTTGGCCTTTAGAGTGGGCAGTTCTGCAGCAGCTTCTTTCAGGGTAGTGGGCTGGACAGGGGCTGCTTCAACAGGGATACCTTCACACCCCTCCTTGGATTCTGCTCATCTTTTAAATTAATTTTTTATAATTTTAGAGATGAGGTCTTGCTCTGTTGCCCAGGCTGGGGTAGAATGGCACGACCATAGCTCACTGCAGCCTGGAACTTTTGGGCTCAAGTGATCTTCCCATCTCAGCCTCCTGAGTAGCTGGGACTACAGGCCACCATGCCTGGCTAATTCTTATATTTTTTTAGAGATGGGGTTTTGCCATGTTGCCCAGGCTGGTCTCAAACTCCTGGCCCCAAGTAATCTTCCTGCCTCAGCACACAATCCTCGCTCATGGTCAATCCAGGCCAGTTACTCCAGTCACTGGGATTACACATGTGAACCACTGTGCCTGGCACCCTGCCCATCTTTTAAGACTGAATCGAGTGACCTCAAGCTGATGGCTTCTCCACTGACTGTAACCCAGAGTGATTCCCCCTTGTTCAACATACTGGCTGTAGGGGTGCCCTTCACCTGGGGCACCTGGAGCCCTGGGTCCAGCTCATCCTGTTTCTGTATGTCCTGTTTCAACAATGTGGCTAGGTCCTGAGGGCAGGCCAGGCCCTCCTCTCCCTTGGCACTAGTGTCCAGTGCTGGGCTCCAGGAGGCACACAATAAAGGTGGTGATTTGGCCTCAATAACAACCACACATGCGGCCTCCTTACTGTGGGCAGAGCTCTGGCTCAGGGACCCCACTGGGGCAGAAGGCTCCTGGGGGGCAGGGCAGACAGTCCTTGAGCTGGCTGTTGCCTGCCTGGGAGCTGTACGTGCCTGCCGGGCAAGGGAACTGTGTCCCCCACTTTGTCCCTGTTTCAGAGAGAAGAGGGGTTCAGAGGAGGAAAAAGGAGTCAGACCTGTGTCATCACTGGCACACCGGCACACCAGCTCCTCACCTGCTGCCTGGAGACGGTTCCCAGGGGAGGCCACTGGGGATGGGGCAGGGAGAGGGGGTGTCACTCTCCAGGACACCGTCTTTAGAAAGCTGTGCTTTGGGCTGAGACACCTGGGAACCCCCAGTTAGGAGGCCCGAGGCTGACCAAGCAGCTGGTGGCCTCTGTCCACACAGCCTCCCCGAGCTTCCTGCTCCTCCCAGGCCTCCTCTCAGGAAGGTGGTCCTGAAATAGAACCTTCATCTCTCCCTTTGCACACCAGGCCTCCCCTGCTGCATCTGCTCCAGAGGAGGTGCACAGGCCAGCCCATGGCACCCTCTCCTGGCACTTGCCTGCAACTTTGCCAGGGCAGAGTCTGGCCCCACTCACCTCGTGGGCAGTAATGCCCGGCCCTGCATGTCCCCGAGGGCACCCGAGCTCCACTGACACAGAACCAGCCCCTGGGGCAGGGCACACACTCCTCGCTCATGGTCAATCCAGTCTGGTTACTCCAGGTGCCAGGAGGACACTGGAACTGGGTGGGCTTTTTGGTGCCGGGAGGGCAATAATGGCCAGTTGAGCAGGGGATGGGGGGCCAGTTTGGGCCCCCGGTTCCTGCAAACACAGTCTTGAACTAGGCCTGAAGGGCTGCTGCACAGCCACAAACCCTGTCAGGCGGCAGGGACATGGGCTAGGGCCTTGTCTCAGGGCAGGGGGTATCTGGATTAACAGCCCCTGAGGCCACCTTACCCGAGATAGCAGGGTCGGGACTCAGGGTGCTTTTAATGGCCCCATCCTTTGGGCTCCCCATGGAGGGGTCGGCAATGCTCTTTGTGAGGAACGAAGGGGCTATGGGTCAGGGTCTGTTGTCCTGGCCTCCCTGCCCTGGGGTGGGACCAGTTTTTCACCCAAAGGCAGGGTCCTGAGGTGGTGAGGCCACTGTCCCCCTCCTCACTTACCCCCAGGACAGGCTAGTCCCTCGGGGCAGATCTCACACTGCGACGGGTCGGAGAGGCCACGGCGGTTGCTGAAGGTCCCGGGAGGGCAGGCATGGGAGGGAGCGTGGGGACTGGAGGAGCCTGAAGGGCACGCGTACCTACAGCAGCAGAGGAGTTGGCACCTGGTGCCTACCACGCAGAGCCCGGCATCTTGGAGAGTCATGGCCAGATCCTGCTGTGCCCCCGGCCTGCTGTGTGAGTCTGCATGGTAACCTGGCCTCTCTGAGCTACTTTCCCCATGGACAAAGCCAGGAAGACGGCTCCCTAGATGCCTCCTGAGCAGGGATGGACCCGAAAGTGCTGAGCCTCAGTGCTCGGGGGCAAGTCCAGGAGCCCTGGGCTGGCTGAGACAGAGCCTTGATCTGAAGGCACAGCCCTCTCTGAACCCTGAGAGGGTCAGAGGCTGGAGAAGTCTGGCCTTGACCAGGGACTGACTCTAAAGGTGTTAGGAGGACGGCTCTGGCCCCCATCGGGACACTCATCACTGAGAAATGGCAGGCACTTACCCCGGTGAGCACGCTGCATCGGGCTGTGTCAGCCCAGCCTGGGTACAGCCCCTGCCTGCTGGGCAAGGGGTGCAGTCTGTGGCTTCATCCTGGCCTGAGCGGGGGCCAAATGTACCCGGCTGGCATGGGATGGGGCGGGTGGCTCTGTTGGGGCAGAAGTGTCCCACAGGGCACCGAAGACACAGGGTGAGAACTGGGGAGAGAGCAGTTTTCTCTCTCAAGGGAAGCAGTGACAAGAAAAGCAGCAAAAGCTTCGCAGGCCTTGGCCACACCTGACCCTCCCATGGGCCTGGGAGTGCAGGAGCTTCCGCCATCCCTGGTTACCAGGAAAGGGGTATCACTGCCTCTAGCGTAAAGATGAGACTCAGAGAGGCAAAGGACCTTGCTGATATCACACAGCCTGTGCATAGCAGATCTGGGCCGTCCCTGGCCCGGCGTTTTCTAGGTCCAGGTTCCTGACCGCTCCCAGGAAAGGTCTCCCGTGTACCTACTGACATTCTCGCTCTTCACTTTAAAATTTCTCATTTCTTTTTCTCCTGTCCTCGGCACTGGGGATTCCCAGCCCTGTCAACCCTCTGTCTTTACTGGCAGCTCTGGGTTGAACAATCCAGGCTGCCTTTGACCTTTCTAGACAGGCTCTGATTTCCCCAGCTGAACCCAGACAACATGGAGTTCCCAGAGCTGGGGCCTGATGAGACCTGGCTGCATCCCGGGTGTGGCTTTCCTGGGGGGTCTTGACTGGTGCCCGGACTTGCTGACATTAGCCTCCGTTAGCGTTTGATAAGTACCCAGTGAGCAAGGTAGAGTCCAGGCCACTCTTCCTGTCTTGCAAGCAGAAGGCAGACCTCAGCACTGACCTGCTGAGCAGAAGCTGGCGTCCTGGTGGGGCGCCTCCCTCTTGTCCTTGCAGCTCCCGGCATGGCGCGGCACAAAGGCAGCTCCACATGAGTGGAAGTAGCCTGTGAGGGGGGCCTCATGGGGTGGGTCCCACCGGGGCTTGGGGTCCTCATCCCCTGGGGAGTCTGCCGGCTGTAGAGGGTGAGCTGGAAGCCTGGCTGGCATCTGGGAGTGGCTTCTGAGGGGGTCTGCACCATGCAGGGTGAGGCTGGGTCCCACCCCAGGCCCATGTGCCATCGCTGCCAGGGAGCAGGGTAGGGCGGCACGGGCTCTATCTCTGCTCCTATACAGAGCTGCTTCCTCTGTGGGGAACTCTCGCAGCCTGGAAGGCACCCAGCCCAACTCGCACGCCCCTTCCTCCAAGAAGCCGCCTGGCCTCCTCCCTGAGCAGACAGACTCTCAGGGGTGCCTCGGCTGAGCCTCAAGGGCCCCGTCTCCACCCTGATTCAACACTTCCCAGCTCGCAGCTTTAGGGAAGCTCTGGCATCTGCCTCTCCCCTGGATGGGGAATACCTGGACGCTCAGTGCTGCCCCACGGCCTGACACATGAGACAGAAGTAGGGGTGCACAGAGGGCTGGAAGGATGCTGGGACCCCTGTCAGCTCTGCTTCTCTTCCGCTTCTGCCCCTTCAGCCCCTTCTTGTCACTGCAGTGTAAACTGTGGTCCTCTCCAAGACCACCAGACACTTAGCTGAGGCCCTCACTTCTTACTGACAGGCAAAGCGGGCACCAGGGACTGTTCTTTCCCACAGAGCGGTTCTGTAGACCATGCTCCCTCCTCTGCAGGGGCCCCCTCCCGGCCCTGGCACCTGGCTTGCCCCCAACACACACCAGAGTGGGTGGGCAAAGGGAAAGCTGAGGGCCTCAAGGTGGGGGTGGTAATGCCTTGCACAAGTGGAGGTGAGTTGACGAGAGAACCTTGCTCACGTGGTGTCTGAGCTGCTTCCTTCCTGCCCTCCTGTGCTGGGCTCCCCTCCACGCCCTCGCCCCTGCTGCCCTGTGGCCAGAGCACTGGGAATGAGTGACACATCTCATTTTCACCCTGAACAAAACTGAGGAGGTAAATCTTTTGCCATTGTGGGGGCTTGGGGGGAATCTTCACAGTCTTAAAGTTAACAATAATGAAAATAATGAATGTTTTGAGGTGCCCCTTCCCCTCCCCCTCTTCCTAATCCTCAGGATCTGGAAGGATTTTCTCCATGGCTCACATCCTCAGCTCTAGTGATTTCCAGCCACATCGTTCCTCTGTCTTGACTGAAAAAGCTCTAAGTTGAATAATCCAGGCTGCCTTTAAACTTGTACGGGTCCTGATTTTCCTAGCTGAGCCCAGAGAACATGGAGTTCCCAAGGCTAGGGCCTGCTGGGCCCTGGCTGCACCCCTGAGTGTGGCTTTCCTGGCATTCAGCAGCACTGCTGATGGTCAGCAGGGGTGCCTGGAAGCCTAGTTCCTGGGCTCCTGTCTTCCAGCCACCCTCTGAGCCTGGGGAGCCCTGGTTATTAGGAACCCGGCACTCTCTGGTGTCCCCATTTTCTCCATAACATCATCTCCCGCAGGCTTCAGTGTCCCCTTTGCTCCCTGTCACTGCGCACCGAGCTCTGCACGGCAATGGAGTCATCTGTGCACCTCTGGGTGGGCTGGGATGCCCAACATCTTCCCTGAGAAGGTGCTTACTTCACACCCATGGTGGCTGGTGAGGGGACCACTCATTTTTCATGTCTGTCATCTGCTGGTTGGGAATGAAGATGGACCCCACCTGGCCTGGCCTCTTGCCAACTTGCTGCCGTCTGGGTTACCTGCTCCCAATTCTAAGAACACAGGCAACGGTGGGGCTGTGGAACACTCAGGAGCTGGGGAGCTGGGAAGAACAGGGGCTGCGTGTGTTGGGGGCTGCAGGGTTGACCGAGGGGCTCCTTACTTATGAGAAGTAACAAAGCTCTTGTCTCCAAGGTGAGGCGCTCCATGCCTGTTATTTTATTTAGATGCAGAGGTCCAGCCCCCATTGGGAGCTCTGCATTTAAATTGGTGGCTACTAACCATCAATGTAGAACCAGTCTGGCTCTAACTGCAGTAGCTACCATTCACTGAGTGTTGACTTTGAGGTTTCTATGTAGCACTTCACCTAATAGAAACGTTCAGGCAGTGTTATATCAACCCCGCTTTAGAGATAAAGGAAAGTGAGGCCTGAGGAGAGTTAAATAACCTTCCAGACTCACACAGGTGGCCATAAGGAAAGTCTCGATACATTTCAAAAGATTGAAATATGAAAGACTATGTTTTCTGATCACAATAGAGTTCAACTGGAAATCAAAGGCACTCAGAAAAGCCCCCAAACACTTAGAAATTAAACAAAACATACTGAAACAATCCATTAGACAAAAAAATCACACAGGAAATTAGATAGCATTCTAACTCAAAGGGCAATAATAAAAACACACCATCATCAAGTGTGTGGGATGTAACTAGGTTCAAATTTACAGGATTCACTGCCTAATGAGAAAACAAGGAAGATGTAAAATCAACTATCTACTTTCACCTTGGGAAGCTAGAAAGAGAAGAGCAAATTTAAATCAGGATTAATAAAATAGAAAAATCAATAAGGAAAATCAATAAAACCAAAAGCTAGTTCTTTGAAAAGATAAATAACATTGATAAAGCCCTAACTAGACTGATAAAGAGAAAAAGAGAACAAAAGTACCAATATAGGTATGAAAAAGCTGTCACTGCAGATGACACACTGAAAGGGTAGTAAAGGTGTGGCCTGAACCACTCTGACAATCAACCTTATACCTAACAGAAAATGAACAGATTCCTCGAAAGACACAAATTCCCAAACTGTCACACGAAGAAACAGAAAATCTGAATAGCCTTAAATGTATCAAAGACATTGAATTCGTAAAGATCCTTCCACCAAGAAATCTCTAAGCCCTATAGCTTTACTGAGCTCTATACAATATTCAAGAGAGAACGCATACCAGATAGACATGAACTTCTCCAGAAAAGAGAGGAGCAGGGACTACTTTGCAACTAATTTATTGGAAAATTAGTTGAGCCAGCGTTACTTTGATACCAAAGAGACCAGAAAAGAAAACTAAGAACAATATCCCTCATACACATAAGATTAAAAAAATCTTACAAAAATATTAGCAAATCAAATTCAAAGATATGTAAAAATAGCATCATGACCACAGGAAGTCTACTCCAGGAATGCAAGATTGGTTTAACGTCCAAAAAACAATGATACTCACCACTGTATCAGAACAAAGGAGAGAAAATCCATATGCTCACCCTGATAGGTTCAGGAAAACACAGGACAAAATTAAATATCCATCCCTGATAAAACTCTTAGCAAGAAATAGAAGAGAATGTCCTCAACCTGATTAAGGGCATCCATAAACTACAGCTAACAGCATACATCGTGATTAGAGACTGAGTGCGTTTTCCCTAAGATCAAGAACAAGCCAAGGATGTTCAATTCTATTCAAAATAGTAGTGGAGTCGCTAGACAGTATAATAAGGCAAGGAAAAGTAACAAAACGTGAATGGATTGAAAAAGTAGAAGCTGGTCGGGCGCGGTGGCTCACGCCTGTAATCCCAAGACTTTGGGAGGCCGAGGTGGGCGAATCACCTGAGGTCAGGAGTTCGGGACCAGCCTGACTAACATGGAGAAACCCCATCTCTACTAAAAATACAAAATTAGCCAAACATGGTGGCGCATGCCTGTAATCCCAGCTACTCAGGAGGCTGAGGCAGGAGAATCGCTTGAACTCATAAGGCGGAGGTTGCGGTGAGCTGAGATTGCGCCATTGCACTCCAGCCTGGGCGACAAGAGTGAGACTCCGTTTCAAAAAAAAAAAAAAGAGAAAAGTAGAATTTAAACCATCTTTGTTCACAGATAACACAATTACCAGCACAGGAGACCCTAAAAAATCTACACAAAGACTACCATAACAAATAAATGAAGTAAGCAAGATTGAAGGATACAAGGTCAATATACACAAATCACTACCATCAATGAATAAATGGAAATGGAAATAAAAAAATACCATTCCACTTACATCATCATCCAAAAACATGAACTACTTGGGGATAAATTTAACAGGACCTGTACACTGAGTACTGCAACAGTCTGCCAAGATTACACCCTAGCCAAGAGCAAAACAGGACTCCAGCCATCCTCCGACGTCCCGTTCCCCAACACTTTGCATACTTCTTTCTTCTGCATCTTCTCTTGTCATTTGTGCCACTTCCTGTGTTGACAGTTCTTTGAGTATTTGAGCCCAGGGCTGGCTGGGCTTTCCCCTCAGAGGCCACCTGGGCTCCTGGTATGGACAGTGTAGTCCAAACACAGGAGACCCAAGGACCTTCCCAGCTCACTCCAGGGTCTCGTGCCTCCCGAATGTCACTGGGGAAGCCCAAACACACCTACCTGAGGGGCAGGGCTGGCAGCTGGGGCTTCTGCCTCTGAAGTAGTGCAGAGAGCAGAAAATGCAACTGGAGCACTGTGGGCCCGGCTCCTGTCCAGGTGGGCACTGCTGAGGGACAACAGGGCCCAGGGTGAGAAGGCAGTGAGATGGTGACTGATAGCCAAACATGCACGTGGCTGAGTCGGGGCCTCAGCTCAGGTGTTCACTCTGCCGAGACTCTTTGGGGATCCCCCAAGCTCTCTGTCCCTCCAACTACCTCTGAAAAAGAAAATTCCCTGCACGTGGTAGTAAGCAGGAATTAGCCCATGTGGTCTGTGGAGCTGTGGGGCTAAGGAAAGGCTCTCGCCTTCTCCTCCAACTCTCTGTGGCTCTGCAGTCCCAGCAGTTGCAACTGTTCTAGGACACTGCAGGGGCATAGCCTGCTCCCAGGAGGCCTGCCTGGTCCTCCTCTGCACCTGTACTGCACACATGGGGCACCTGGCAACACGTGGCACGCATGGGAATGGCCGGGTCACGAGGTGGCTGCCACGAGTGTGCACATCACTGTGCACCCCACATCTCCATGGCTTCTCTCCTGAGTGCTGCATGGGCATGGTGGCTCTGAGCCTCCTCACACTTCCCCGTGCGTCCTCCCATTCCATCCCCACAGCAGCCCTGGAGGTGGGTTAAGCTCATTTCCAGGTTAAGCCGGTGAGGCAAGTCCCGGGGTGCACCGTCAAACTGCGCAGGAGGTGTTGGCTGATCTCCAAGGCTGCTCCCCAAGAACAGCATGGGCACCTCATGCATACCTCACACGTGAGGCAGGGAGAATG